GATTATGAACTAAGATATAATTATAGGTATATATGTAGGGAAATGTTCTTTAGGCACTCATACTATCAACTATTATATGATTATATATAGAGGATTATATAAAGCGAGGCTTCAAGCCCTATTTCGATAAACTAATATATGATTATATAAAGGATTATATAAAAGGAAATAGCTGAGTAGTAACACTATAAAGTGAGATATTCCTCAAGCCCTAACTGTGCCAGGGTTCTGCTTAGCTCTCATTTCTCCGTGCCTATATGGGGGGTTACCCACATTCAGTTGAGGGAAGTTTCTCATAAACATTTATTGAGTATTTAATTTTCTTTATACTGTGCTAAGCACTTGGAATTCAGGTATTTAATGTCTCTAAAGAAACTCAAGCCAGTGAGTGGAAGAACACAAGCAGATCTTTTCAACAAGATACGGTAGTTCTACCCAACTGAGGTGTGGTGGCAGCCCAGAGGATGGGAGGGTATGTCAAAGGACATTGCTCCTAATGACAAGGGGAAGCATAAGAGAACATTTTCAGATTGGCTGGGCATGGTAGCTGACGCCTATAATCCCAGCACTTTGGGAGGCCAAGGCGGGTGGATCACAATGTCAAGAGATTGAGATTATCCTGGTCAACATGGTGAAACCCCAACTCTACTGAAAATACAAAAAAATTAGCTTGGCATGGTGGTGCACACCTGTAGTCCCAGCTACTCGGTAGGCTGATGCAGGAGAATTGCTTGAACCCAGGAGATGGAGGTTGCAGTGAGCCGAGATTGTGCCATTGCACTCCAGCCTGGGTGGCAAGAGTGAAACCCCGTCTCAAAAGAAAAAAAAGAGAACATTTTCAGAACAGACTAGGCTTCCTTCAAGCTCCCACAGGAGAGGATCCTGGGGTAGGGATGGTGTAGGGCAGGCGCCTCTCTAGGGAAGGGGATTTGCAGCATTCTGAGAGAAAGAGCATCCCTTACAAGACATTGGGGACAGAAATGTAGGTGAAAGGGTTGGAGGTTTCTAATCAATTTTATTTTTTCATGGATGTACACTGCTGAAAGGTCCCTCTGTGCTGGGCCCTTAGCTAAGAACCATGACCACAGAGGTGAGTAAAATAGGATCCCAGCTTTCACACAATTCTCAGTCTAGTGACTGATGATTCATGAGAAGTGTAGTGATGGTGGGTTCATTGAAACCAGTGGCCGATGCCGCATGAGATGACCTCAGTGGATGGCCTGGGCCAGTGACCCTGGACTTCAGCCATATTTCAGCATCTTGAGGTACAGTACACCCATGCCTCTGCTCCGTGTTGAGTCAAAGCAGTTAACACAGCCAAGGTATTCAGAGGACACTGGTGATATCAGTAGCTATTGAGTGTTTCCAGCTGGGGAAACAAAGAAGTAAATTTAATAAGTCTTCTAAATTTGTGCTTGCCATAATGATAAATAACTTTATCTTCATAATGAATTATATCCTGGCAAATTAATTATAACTTGACATAATGAGAAATAACTTTACCCTGAGTACAGCTGACACATAAGTCCTTGAGGACACATGCCTGAGGATCTGGTGAAGATATGGTGTCCAAATATATGCACAGTTGGACCTGCAGTCCAGCTTTGAAACAGTGGAAGACCCAGTTTCAAATTCAAGGTTGCTTTGAGTAGAAATTCACTTTACCTCTCTTTGCATGGCAATGGGGCCAATCTTCCCTATGCTGCCCCTTACAAGAAAAGGAATCATACTGGTAAGATTTCAGACTTAGCAGACATGGGTAAGTAAGGAAGTCTTACAAATCTCTTCTACCCACCTAGCAAGAAACCAGAAATTTAGCAAGTTCATTCACATTCAGGACAGTTGTGTGCACACTAGATCACAGACCCTGAGACATGAAGAACAGACCCCCTAACAAGGGACAATATTTCTTCCTGTCCTAGGACATTACTGCCAACTTCAGGGAAGTGGGAACACAGCTGCCCGCTTTACAGTATGGGTTACTATTGTCCCTGGAATGTGTCTGACGTCCTGAGACCTGTACCCGTTTCAGGGAGCCTTGGGAGGAGCCTGAATCACAGATGGAATTGGACAGTGCATGGAGTTGGTTGAGCAGGATGAGGGTAAGTGCAGGGGCATGGCCAGGTCATACTGGGAGACAATGAGCGGCACTGATGGGGACAGACAAAGAGAAAGTCAACAGTTTGTGCTTCAGCATCAGAAACTCAAACCAATAACGAATTTGCTTTTATAAGTAATAAATATTTTTCTATTTACATGAAAATTTAATCTCCAAAGAGAAATCATAAAAATAGTAAGTCCAGGGCATCAAACCTAAACCGTAGCTCAAATTTATTCTTTCTGAATGGAGCTAGCAGTAAAATCTTCTTCATAAAACATATATTGTTGTTATAAGAAGGCAAAAGTCGGCCAGGTATGGTGGCTCGCACCTGTAGTCCCAGCACTTTGGGAGGCCAAAGCGAGTGGATCATAATGTCAAGATATCAAGACCATCTTGGCCAACATGTTGAAACCTTGTCTCTGCTAAAAACACAAAAATTAGCTGGGCTTAGTGGTATGTGCCTATAGTCCCAGCTAGTCAGGAGACTGAGGCAAGAGAATCACTTGATCCCAGGAGGCAGAGGTTGCAGTGAACTGAGATTGTGCCACTGCATTTCAGCCAGGTGACAGAGGAGGACTCTGTCTCAAAAAAAAAAAAAAAAAGAAAGAAAAGAAAAAGAAAAAAAGCAAAAGTCTTACTGAGAATCATTCGTATTCCATAAAAGAGAGAATGAAATACAGTCAAGGGAAGACCCAAGTCTCATACTTCTCTTGTATATTCCAAAGTTCCAGGGGAATTCCAGGTAATAGAGGTTACTTCCCATGCTGTTAAAGCAAGGTTGCAGACACTTCTGAATTTTGGTAGCAATACTCTAGGAGGGCACATCTCTGTCCTGAAAAATGATACAGGAATGAATACTCTTCTTGTGACTCATTCTGGTCATTCATCCAGCATCACAGAAACCAAACAATGGAAATATGGCCAAATTCATGATTTTCTAGCCCTCTTGTTGAGCTTTCTTACCTGATTGTTAGGATAACAGCATTACCTTGAAGATTATAATGAAGATATGCTGTCCAAATGTGTGCACAGTTTTGAGCAAAATGCCTGGTACAAATTGTGCCACTGCATTTCAGCCAGGTGACAGAGGAGGACTCTGTCTCAAATAATAATAACTGAATAATTATATGAATATTTACTGAATGACATGGATTCTATGAATAATTATGGAATAATTATTGTAATTGCTTTTACTAGCAGTTCTCAAAACTCATCTATGTGTGACCTCAAGTAAGCCACATAACTTTGTGAACCTGCAGTTTCATCATTTTAAAAATGAGGAAACCTGACAGCTTTTCATTCTGCCACAGGTCAGGCCTCCCAGATACTAGAACATTTAGTTAAAGCCTTTGATATATCTCAAAGCAGTATCCTTACAGTGTAGTTGGAGGATGGTGGGGGCTGCAGAGAGGCACGCTTTCCAGTGGGATTGATCCAGCCCTCCTTCCTTCATTGCCACATGAATACTGGGCAGGGTCACACCCATTGCACCCTCAACTTAGGCAAGCCCAGCAGCCAAACATAGGAGACTTGGGATACAGAACAGTCTCCCAAATCCCAGGCTCACAAAACCTAGGTGGAGATGACGGCTGAGAAAGTGAGGGGGAGGTTCAGGGGATCACTCTTCCCTACTTTGTTCCTCTCATCTCAAATTCACCTTCTATTGCACAGCAACACGGAGGACCACCAACCACCCCTGACTATCACTTTGATCTTGCTGTGTTTGGTTAGTGGGATGCAACCACACATCAATGGTGTTAGACGAAATCAGAAAAGTATCTATCAAACAGTATTCCATAAGGGGACCACTTGGAAAAAATGTAATGAAAACAGCAAAATCATATGAGATTTCCAAGATTTCCCAAGATAGATGGTCACGTGCTTTCAAGAGATCTCTATAGAAATGATTTCAATGACATGACACCTTGAAAAGAGCTCTTCTGGGACTAGAATGATATCCATAAGTGAGAAGTATGAGATGTAGTGTTCAATCACATTAAAAAACAAATCATCCCACATAGAGGAAGCTTTGGAAGTAGGGACGTCACACAGGTCTTAAGTGTAATGAAAAGCCTCTTCTGCCACAAACATCAGTGTAGTGGCACCTGCCAGTAAGAAAAACTAAATAGCATAACCATGGGATGCAGCAAGAAGAGTATTGAGCCAGGAAAGAAAACATTTTGAAGAAATGAATTACTCATTGACTTTCTAGTGGATACAGAAAAAACTGCAGAAGACTCAGAGGATACGATGGCAGTGTAATAGATTGATATCTTAAATTTGTGGAAAAGCCTTCAATTCTGTTTTAACATATGAGAAGGAGAGGTGACTGACTTCATGACCAGCATTAAGAAAGTATCACGTGTTGGGAAACTGTTTCTGCCTTGATGGTTTTATACACATAAGAGATGAAAAATGAGGCACATGCTTAGATGTATTGGGAATGAGATGGGACTGTGGCATTGTCACAACAGTACACAAATACTGAGAGTGACTTATAGAGTAATGGTCCCCATCTGTTGTGACCTCAGGTGAGACCAGGAAGCCTGTGTTTTAGCAAACCCTGGGCAATGGAATGAAGGGCTCCTAAGATTCCATGACACACCCAGCTTCTAATTCTGTTGTCGCAACAGCAGACCATTACCTGGGACACTGCCCACAATCTCCCACACCCTTGTCAGAGTCTGAGCTGCAGACAGCGCCTTCAGTTCTCAGCTCAAGCATTGCGAACCTTGTTTTTGCTGTTAAGGACCCTAAAGTACTGTGAGGAGGGATCAGGTTTTTCTCAACAGTAAGTTAAGAATTTGAGTTACTTACATCCCCCGGTCCTGATTAAAACTATTTGATTTCCAGTTTTTAACCCATCATGTGTTTGGGTTTCTTCTCCCCAGTCCCTGGCTCTCCCTGTGGTGCCCCAAATATCAGCATGGTGGCATCCTGCAGGACATGTTCCGGGAAGACGACAGAGACGAACTTTCCAAATACCATCGAGAATTCCTACTCCCAGCAGGAAGAGACCAAGCAGAATATCAGAGCCAGCAAAAATAGGCTGCTTATGAGCCAGGTGGCCTACTTCCTGAACTACCAGCTGAAGACATACAGTAAGTTCTATAGGTTGACCACCATGAAAGCGATAAATGATGTCCTGTCTTGTCTCGAGAAACTAACCGTTCTCTTCATCAAAATTAGTTTCATCCTTCCCATACTTGTAGAAAATAGCAATGGGTATTTTAACACTTAGTTAAAAATGGAAGACAGTGGCAAAAGTATTTAGCAACTTTTCCACGTCTTCAGTAAGGTGGGTATAGGACTGGGGTTAGAATCCCAGCTATTGATTTCTGACACAGGCACTGAACCACCTGTGTTTCTCAGCCAAAGGCTAAATCATGTTTACAGGAATCCTCTCTGTACCACCTAAGATCTTGCAGACAAGTAGCATCTAGACTGTTGGTCTAAATGTCTGATGCTACTGAACTTCCATTCGGTTCTGGTTTCTGCTAAGGCCCAGTAGGCAAAGCTGTGTTCTGGGGATACTGGGGGAAACACAGTGATAGCACACAGTACCCACTGTGAGGCGCTGGAAGGGGACCCTGTTCATAATAGAACCTGTGGTATCCATAAGTGGCACCATCAAGAGCAGGGACTACCCTGGTACTGGTTCCTCAACTCCCCAATTAGCTGGCATCCCCTGTGGGCACCACCACATCTGGCTAATTTTTGTATATTTAGTAGAGGTGGGGTTTCACCATGTTGGCCAGGCTGGTCTTGAACTCCTGAGGTCAAGTGATCTGCCTGCTTGAGCCTCCTAAAGTGCTGGGATTCCAGGCGTGAGCTACCATGCCTGCTCCACAGATTCTTTTTTCAGTAAAGGTTGTTAAAATTCATCCCTTGGTCCAAACTCCTATATAAATTTCTCTAACAATTGATTGGCAATGATATATGATTAGATAAATCAGTATTGCAGCAACGCTTCTGGAAAGCAGGGCAATTTTTGAGGATTTTGGGAAAAATTTTAATTTTTTGCACTGACTTAGGTCAGAGGATGTAATTAAGATCTACCGTATGAGGGAGATTTTGTCCCATGGTTCTGAAAAGCGGGCTCATATACTTCTAGGGTGACTTAATCTAGGGACCATTAGAACGTTCCTGTCAGAATACCACATTCTTACACTGAGAATATTTTACGTCCTTGTGCTATGATTGAACACTGATTTGGTCTTGTGTGAAGTATGATTTCCTTAATGTGACCTCCTCTTCTGAATTTTTTTATAGAAGATCGAAAAGATCATGATGAAAAACAGAAATGCAGAGACAACAAAAATAAACTTCTTATGAGTCAAGTGGCCTACTACCTGGGCTGCCGGCTGAAGACAGAAAGTAAGTTCTATAGATTCACAGTTACGAAAGTGCTGAACAATGTCCTGTCTTCTTTCTGAGAAATGATACACTCTCTTCTTCAAACTTAATTTCATCCTTCTCATACTTCTAGGAATATAGCAATGGGTATTTTAGCATTTTGTTAAAGATGGAAAACAGAGGCTAATGTGTTTAGCAACTTTTGCACGTCTGCAGTAAGGTGGGTGTGGGACTAGTGTTAATATCCCTGCTATTGATTCCTGACACAGGCACAGAACCACCTGTATTTCTGAGCAAGAGGCTAAATCATGTTTGCAGGAATCCTCTCTGTACCATATAAGATCCTGCAGAACTTATAAGCAAGATAAAGATAGAAGTGTTTATTTTCGAGTTTCAAGGTGACTGAGTAGCTAAGACAAGTTGACTTTAAGGAGATCGAGATTGTAGATGAGAAGAGTAAAAGCGGGGAAACGACACCTTCAAATCAATGAGCAAGGCTGTCAGTGACATCCCTCAGTCCCGATTAAACCAATTTGACGTCACCAGTTTCTAATCCATCATATGTTTGGGTTTCTTCTCCCCAGTCCCTGGCTTTTTGTGTTCTGCCCCAAATGTCACCATGGTGGCATCTGACAGGCCTCCTTCCAGAACAAACACAGAGGTGAACATTCCAGAAGGCATTGAGAAATCCTGCTGCCAACAGGAAGAAAACAAACCGACTTTCGGAGCCAGCAAAAATAGACTTCTTATGAGTCAGGTGGCCTACTTCCTGAACTACCGGCCGAAGACATACAGTAAGTTCTATAGGTTGACCACCATGAAATTGATGAATAATGTCCTGTCTTGTTTTGAGAAACTAACCTCTTTCTTCATCAAAATTAATTTCATCCTTCCCATACTTGTAGAAAATAGAAATGGTTATTTTAACAGTTTGTTAAAGATGGAAGACAGAGGCAAAAGTATCTAGCAACTTTTCCATGTCTTTAGTAACATGGGTGTGGGACTGGGGTTACAATCCCTGCTATTGATTTCTGACAGAGGCAGAGAAGCACCTGTTTTTCTCAGCAAAAGGCTAAATCATGTTTACAGGAATCCTCTCTGTACTGTATAAGATCCTACAGACAAGTAGCATCCAGTCTGTTGGTCTAAATGTCTGAGGCTACTGAACTTCCTTTTGGTTCCAGTTTCTGCTGTGGCCCAGTAGGCAAAGCAGTGTTCTGCAGACACCGGGGGAAACACAGTGATAGCACACAGTACCTCCTCTGAGGATCTCAAGGAGGACCCTCCTCCTAATAGAACCTGTGGTATCTGTAAATGGCACCATTAAGAGCAAGGAGTACCTTGCTACTGGTGCCTCAGCTCCCCCTTTAGCTGGGATCCCTGGTGGGCACCAAAGCCCCTGGCTAATCTTTGTATTTTTAGTAAATGCAGGGTTTCACCATGTTGGACAGGCTGGTCTTGAACTCTTGAGGTCAAGTGATCTGTCTTTCTGGGCCTCCTAAAATGCTGGAATTTCAGGCATGAGACACCAGGCTGGCTCCACAGTTGCTTTTTTCAGTAAAGGTTATTAGAATTCATCCCTTGGTCCAGTCTCCTATGTAAATTTCTCTAACCATTCATTGACCATGATATATGATGAGATAAATTGGTATTGCAGCAATTGTTCTGGTAAGTAGTTAGGGCAATTTTTGAAGATTTTTGGGAAAAAGTTTTAATTATTTGCCCTGACTAGGTCAGAGGATATATGATGAAGATCTACCAGATGATGGAGATTTTCTCCCATGGATCTGAAAAGTAGGCTCATCTACTTCTGAGACTACTTATTAATCTAGGGCCTGTTAGAACATTTCCATCAGAATATCACATTCTTACACTGAGAATATTTTACGTCCTTGTGCTATGACTGCACACTGATTTTGTCTTGTGTGAAGTGTGATTTGCTTAATGTGACCTGCTTTTCTGAATTTGTTTACAGATGATCGAAAAGATCACAATGAAGAACAGAAATGCAGAGACAGCAAAAATAAACTTCTTATGAGTCAAGTGGCCTACTACCTGGGCTGCCGGCTGCAGACGGAAGGTAAGTTCTATAGGGTCACTGTCACAAAAGTGCTGAACAATGTCCTGTCTTCTTTCGGAGAAATGATACACTCTCTTCTTCAAACTTAATTTCATTCTTCCCATAATTCTAGAAAATAACAGTGGGTATTTTAACATTTAATTAAAGATGGAATACAGAGGCCAAACTAGCAACTTTTCCAGGTCTACAGTAAGGCGGGTGTGGGACTAAAGTTAAAATACCAGCTATTGATTCCTGACACAGGCACAGAACTACCTGTTCTTCTCAGCAAGAGGCTAAATCATGTTTACAGGAATATTCACTGTACCATATAAGATCCTGCAGAACTCATAAACAAGATAATGATAGGAGGGTTTATGTCCTGGCTTCAAGGTGACTGAGTAGCTAAGACAAGTTGACTTTAAGGAGATTAGGAGTGGAGATGAGAAGAGTAAAAGCGGGGAAACGACATCTTCAAATCAACAGGCAAGGCTGTCAGTGACATCCTTCAGTCCCGATTGAACCAATTTGATGTCACCAGTTTCTAATCCATTGTGTGTTTGGTTTCTTCTCCCCAGTCCCTGGCCTTCTGTGTTCTGCCCCAAACATCAGAAAGGTGGCATCTCACAGGCCTCCTTCCAGAAAAAACACAGAGTTGAACGTTCCAGAAGGCATTGAGAAATCCTGCTGCCAACAGGAAGAAAACAAACCGAATATTGGAGTCAGCAAAAATAGACTTCTTATGAGTCCAGTGGACTACTCCCTGAACTATCGGCTGAAGACATACAGTAAGTCCTA